TGAACAATACATAAATTAAACGAAACTTCATGAAAAGCTAAGAGTTGGCCTAATAGGTCTTGTTAGAAACTGGTGAAACTGGATTTCACTTATTTTGCATTACTTATATTTCAGTTTCCCTAATAACTATACAATGGATTGCCTTGTTTACATAATTAATTTTCCCCTATCTGTTTTAGACCTAAACCTATCAAATGAATTTCAAAACAACATAATATCTATACAAACAAAAAATTATGTTTTCAACTAACGTAATATTGTTGGTGGTGTGAATTTAATTTACAAAATTAATTTTTAGGCGTCAATTTAATTTACCTTATTATGCTGATTCATAATCGGAAACTATTATTATAGAAATCGAGTTAAGAAAGCCACTTTAAAGAACCGCCCACGGAACAGCTTTTATCAGTTTTTTGTTGCTCCATATTTGCACATAAGTTTATAGACGCATGTCTCAAATGGATGTGACTTTATATGTAGATTGACGTTTGTACGTACTTATCGCTTTTGTGTCTATCTTCAAACATTTTTTGTCACGGCTTTCAAACTCATACTTGACCAGCAATTCCTTATTGTCCAGTCGTTGCAATTAATAATGTAGCTACTACTATTATTACAGATATAAAACTTAGAATAATAAAGTAAAACAAACATGGCTATGATCAATTTATTAGTGTAATGATCATATTAGTTATTATGAAATGAAATGAAAATATCTTTATTCAAGAAGGCTATTACAAGCACTTGAAATGGCAAGTTTATTTTTATTTCTACTTTTTTTTTGTGAAGGAATCGTAATGTTTTCTTGCATACATAATATTTTCATTGATGTATTGAGAGGCAACAGTCAAAATATTTATTTCTTTAAATATTTCTCTGAGAGATTCTCTAGACCGTAAATTATATATAGCGTGGACAGCTCTCTTTTGTAGAATAAAAATATCTTGAATGCTAGCCGCAGAACCCCATAACAATAGATTATACGTCATTCATTACACTATGAAAATAACTAAAATATACCAATCTTGCCGTTTCAACATTTGTTAAGAGTCTAATTTTCTTAACAGCAAATGCTGCAGAACTCAGTCTACTTGACAAATTTTCAATATACCAAAATACCAAGGAACTTTGTCGATTCCACCATCTCAACTTTTTCACTATTTACATTTATAAGTATATTAACATGCCTCACATTAGGTAATGCAAACTTTATGTATTTCGTTTTATTTGAATAAAGCTTTAAATAATTACTATCAAACCACTGTAGAAAATTGTCGAACTGAATTACATTGAACTGTTTCATAACAAAATTTAAAGCTCTTATTTTATGAACTAATATGTCACATCACTAATATGCACAATCGGAATGATACCAGTAAAAAAATACAAATTAGGCTTAATGTAATTAATACAAAAATTCTGTTGTTTTCTTAATTTTTGTTTTTTTTTACACTTTCCCTCGCTTAATTATATTACTCCACAGATATACGATAGAGTGTATCATTAAGTTTTCTTAGTTTTTGTACTGCGTTTTTTAAAAGATATTTTAATAAATTATGTAGGGAAAAGCTTTAATTTTTCAGTATTCACTTGGTTACAGCAAAATCTAATATTAATAGTTCGCACATAAAATGATGATCCCAATTTTTTTAAATGTGCATAATCTTAAAATATTTTTTTCCTTCTGGTATCCCCATATACAGCCACGTGACAGTTCAACATTCATGTTAAAGTAAATTATTTATTATCACGTTGAATTAGAGTTTGTTTTTAATCTTGTGATTTCTTAGCTTAGTATCTTTTTGGGATTTGGTTTATGTTATCGCGAACCTATCGCGTGGCGGTTTTTCATGTAGTGAACAAAATGATCATTTCATCTAATCTGTATTTGTGTGCGGAGAGGCGACACTCGGTTCCCATACTAAATTAATATCATTATACTTCTAATCTCTCTCTATGTTCTGTGGTTTATTCATTGTCTTTTCTTGTTTTCGCGCTAATGTAAAACTTATACGTTTTTATAGCCAATGTGTAACTCCCACGTAGTGAGGACCTCGTTTTACCTCATGAGGTACTCGCGAGGTACCCCTCATTTGAGATTAGGTGAAGAGAAGTATGTATCAAAACAGCTGTTGCTTCGATACGCGGACACAAAACACAGAAAAAATCTCTTTACCGATGAAAAAAAATTTTCAATCGAGGAGCACTACAACAAACAAAATGATCGAGGGTATGTACACACTCGATCATTTTGTTGGTGGAGTGGAGTGAAAACTTCAACCAAAGTGTATCAAGATACCGTGTTAGAAGCGGTAGTTAAACCACTGAACAACACCTTTTTCAAAAACGAAGTGTGGACATTCCAAAATTATTCAGCCCCGGTCATAAGGAGCGAACTACCCCAATTTGGCTTGAGCAAATTGTTCTAGATAAAGGCTGATGATTGAACTTCGGCTAGTCCGGACTTAAACCCTTTGGACTATAAGTTGTGCTGTGTGCTAGAGGACATGGTCTGCTCAAAGCGTATCCCAAATATTGAGTTGCTCAAGAAATCTTTGGAGGCAGCAGTGACCAAGTTTCCACTGGACACCGTTCGTAAATCCATCGACGAATAGCCCGACAGTTTAAAAGCGTGCGTTAAAGCTAAGGGTGGAACACTAACACACACACGAACACTAGTTTAGTACGTTAACATATCTTTTTCACTCTATCGAGACGCTTACCAACCGCGCTGGCAGACGCGTCACACTAAAATCACACTACGGCGTTCGGTCCGCGATGCGGCCGCAATGCAACTTTGGCAAAGGACAGTCATGTTTGCAGACCATGTTTAGAAGTGCAATTTTTATAACAGATACCTAGATGCTTCTCTTTTCCGTGTTCTGTGCCACATACTTGTCATGTGCTTTATAAAACATTCTCATAGCCTGCGGCAAGTCGCGTTGATGAGGAAGTATTTAAAAAAAAAAACGAATGCACTAATAAGCATCTCCACTAGATGGCGACTCTAGAAAAAGTGGATTTTCGCAGGAAACGAATGAACCAAAGACAGTCATTTCCGTTCCTTTTAACTAACATATTAAAAAACTGAAATTTGAAAAGTTCGGCACTTAGATATCAGTACAAATACGAAAAAGTACAAGTAGAATATGAGTTGTTTATTGAGTTTTGAAAACTAATTTACTTTTAAACATGACAGAAAACCGGAAAGGTTGTCATGTAGAAATCAACAACGTACCGTAGCGACATCTAGTTTGATTTCGGGAACTAATTTCTTTTTGAATAGGTACTTCATTGCTGGAACCTTTTCTGATGACAATGACACCCGCGTGACGTCAAATGAAAATAGAAAGTGTTGATAGCACATGAGGCAAGAGATAAATTATTAATTAATTATTGAAACATGTAGCAACAATTCCTAAAATATTGTTATAATAACGGAAAATATATTTATTTATTCAACTATAACAAGTAACAATAACAATCGAAACCAATAAAAACATAACAAATCTCAACATAACTCATGTACTCGTCGACCAGTGTTTATTTATTAACAGTACTGATTTTTGAATGCAATTACGTCATAAAAACCCTGATTGGCTGTATCATTGATACAGCCACATTTTATGCGTGGATACGTCTATGTATGAATGGATATATGAGTAATTGATAAAAAAATAAATAAACAAATTGAAGACACTAAACACTAAATAAATAAATATTCGTTGCGTTCATTTGTTGAATGAAAAAAGTATTCACTAGCGCCAACAGGTGGCGTTAGTGCATATACTCCTGCTGACAGAATGCCCGTCCCCCTGCAGAGCAAGCATAGTTCACTTATACGCCAATAGATGGCGTTAGTGCATAAGCTCCTGCTCACAGAATGACCCCCCTGTAGAACGAAAACATAGACGTATCCACGTCAAAAAAATGGTGGCCAGGTGCATTAGCAATTTACGGGGATTATACCTATACTTTTATGTTAACTTTACCATTAATGTCCCTAATGTTTGGTGAACCAGAAAGATTCCTTTGCTTTTCTTTAAAAATTAAAATGTCTATGTCGTAAAGACAGTGTTGCCAGCTGTATGATTTTTCGCGTTTTCGGTATTTTTATTTAAAATCTGCAATAAAAAATTTAAAACATTTTCAATATTATTAACTACATTTTAGGAAAACTGCATTTTAATCAGCGGTATTACAAATGAATATTATGTCAGTTCTCATTAAGTCAAAATGCAAGCGATCTCATAAAAAAATAAACTTATAAATTTGTCGCTGTATTTTTGGTTCAGAAAAATGATGTTTGACTTTCTATCAATTCTGTACCAAAAACGATGACAATAGAATGTATGCGCTTTGAAGTAAAAACAGAGTGACATTAGAATGGGCCAAAGACAGTAAATTTTGTTCCTTTTACACGTATATTAAACAATAAATGATTCAAATTTGTAGTTAAAACAAAATTATACTTTCAAACATAATGAAAGAAATTATAAAAGAACTGGTTATATTTTACATATTAATATTTTACAAAATAGAAACAAAAATTCAATTTAGGTACTTTCACTTCATCAGAATACAAATAATAGGTAGATAGTTTGATTGAGCGCCATACATTTTTCGAAGCGATATCTAGTTTAATTTTAAGAACTATTTTTTAACACTTACTCATTAAGAACTGTTTATTTGGAGTCTAATTGAGTCCGATATTGGTGACTTAGATCAGCCTGATCCCGCTACTATTTGAAATCTGTACAGTGCGACCGTAAAAAATTATCACGACCACTGGCTTATGCTATGTTATGCAGCTATGAGTGATCCCATCACCCATGAGAACTGTGCGCTGAGATTTTAGCACCAGCGTTGTTTTCCTCCAGTCTGCTGATTCCATGTAAACACTCCCTTTACACGAAAAAAACGTATTTTCCTTTTTAAAGGATTTTGTTGCTGCGTAGGGTTGGCAACACAGTCGCTGTGGCGTGCATGTCTTTGGGTTGAATCTCAGGTTATGTGATTGTGAAGAGAAAGTCTCGTATGTCGTGATTGTTTTAATTTAATAAAAAATGGGAAAAGTAAAAAAGCAAAAACCAAATAGAAACAAAAGAAACGTAGTTGCTGTTTCCAATGAATCAGACGGAGAAGAACAATTAATTGTTGATTCGAAAGAGACCGCTATCCAAACTGTTTTGGATCAACTACAGGTTAGTTTTATAACCTCCTTATATTTAATGAACATGGCAATTAATTTATAAATAAAATGCGCAATTTGTGGGTGTTTTTTATGTTAAAACATATTTAAACCAACACATTTCTATCTGTTTTATAGTCTGCTAACGTTGAAGAAAAGTATTGTGGGTTACAAACACTAGCAATATTAATAGAGAATCCAGATAACATAGAACAGGTGACCACCAGAGGAGTAGTAAAAGTAGCAGCACCTTTGTTGTTAGATTCGGCAAATTCAGTAAGAAATGCTGCTGCTGGGGCTCTTCGAAATTTGTCTGCAGTCCGACTAGATGTTTGCGATACTTTAATGGATGAAGACATTATGACACCAATCACATGCTATTATCATGAGCATGCAGCAGAGTGGACTCCAAGCAATTCTTCAACAAAAGATGAGGATTCTGATACTTACATCCAATGTACAAACTTATTAATGAATCTATGTGAAAGTTCAGGTATGTTCAGTATTGTCTTATCTATTTTTATTAATTCATATTTATGTCCTTATCTGTAAAAGTGTATTTACATGTCGATCTAAAGCTAAGCATTGATAGCAGTCCTTTAGCACAAACGACTAAATTTGGGTTTAGTCCTGTTAAACAAAGTTTTTTAGTGTATAAATAACAGGGTAGTTTCAGTAGTGTAAAATGACTCATGAAATTGAACTAAAACTAAGATTAACATAGTTAAAAACATAGATATTTTAATTTTGAGTCTTAAAATTGCATGATAAATGATTTTTGTCTGTGTGTTACATGACTTGAAAGATGTCTCGCCATTCATATTTCAGTCATAAAGATACCTATTAAATATAAATCAAATTTCTAGATGGTGCTTATTTATATCTTTTTATTTTGTACATGATTGTTAGATTGCATTGTTCTTTGTTTAATTGACATATTTTAATCTCCTTCTCTCATCTGTTTTGTCTATATATCACAGTGACATCATGAATATTATGTACAGTGGTATCACAAGTATAAAAAAGTTAAAAAAGTTATAAATTTTAAATTTTGATTTAGTTTTAAGGCAAGAAAACATGTTTGTTTTTCTAAAATATTCGTTTTATGGCTTTTTTAAATTTAAGTTAAACGGTACTATTTCTAATGGAGTAGAAAAATACCCTTTTAAGCTAACAGAGGTAAAATTAATATGTTATTACTATAATTACATGTGTCTATAGAATAACATGAAAACAAACCTTAAAATAAACTTTAAATTTAAGTTCACATTATTTAGAGAGTAATGCAATAGAATCAGCACCATTGTCTGTTTATAGAAAAATAATTATAATAATAATAATGCCTTTATTACTGATTTGTAGTTTGAAATTTACATTTTACACAGAAATCCGCACATCATTCATCAGTGTGTCCTGCTGACACATAAGCCTCCCCTATCTTTCCCATTAAATAAGAACATACTTATGAGTAAAGGTTATTATAAAGTTGATGATTATTTTAAGGATCATATTTCATGGATTTCAAACCCTTGCTTTGTTCTGTAATGACTATTTATATGTACAACCTATGACCTACAGACTTTGAAAGTTGTATTTATTATTGTGATAATACATATTATTTTGGTAATGAAATTATTTATGTAAATGTCATTATTTATTATAAAAAGCTGTTAAGTTTCTTTCGCTTGTTCTTTTCTTCTTGTCAGCTAAAAGACGTCCTGAACAAGTGGTAGGCGAAAAAACATTTTTGGACAATTTAAAAGTGCTTTTAATAAGGCTACTTGTATAAAGATATTTTCATTTCATTTCAATTCATTAATCCTTTTGCAAACTCAATGTCTTGCTGTCATATTATGGTCTGGTTTAAACCTTATAAAGTTATTTTACAATAAGTAGGATGATGTTTACAATTTTACAGTGACATTACACAGTAGTATATTATTATTTTTTTGGTTACCTAATTTTTAAATGGAATTTTTGGTATAAACACGGCCACATGTCACGGTACACACCACAAGCGTAACCACCTCCCCCCCCATGTAATGCACATGTTGCAAATAATTGCTTTTATTACAATGTAGTGCTAAGAGAATTGTTTTTTTACAGAGCTTGCAGTAAAATATGTGGGTCAATCAAAAATATTAGACATCCTGCCGAAATATTTACAACTGTCTATTTTTGGGAGTGAAATTGTTATTGCCACATTACAGTGTTTATTTGTAATAGTTGAAGATAATCCTCTAGCTATAGAGAGAATTAAATCAAATTCTGAGGCACAGCTACAGTCTCTTATATGTTTAGAAGGTAGTAATCCTGATATACTTCTAATCAAAACTGTAGCTGCAGGAGTAATTATTAATATGTGTAGTGGAGATGTGAGTAAGCTGCCTACAGATGTCATCAATCGAGTATTATCAATATTAGCTAATTCATTGTCAGTTGACCATAAACTGGCATGCAATCAACTATCTAGTAGTGTTCCATTAGCTGATGCCTCAGGAAAAGTGGCAGCACTTAAAGGCAATGAATCAAAAGTGCTTGATAATCAGATAAAAGCAGTTCTACAAATGTTGGATGCCCAACAAAGTGCTATTGAAATTATTGCAAATATTTGCTCTTGTGATGGTAAGTCCAGCTTTAATTAAATTTTTATTCATATCAATGGCAGTGAAACTGAAAAGATTGTTGAAAGATAATGTTTATATTAATATCTAAATCATTATAAAATAATAATTGCAAGAGCAGTGGCATCACCATACTGTAATTTTTTAAGCAAATAAAGTTTACTTTTAGCCATTTTCTTAAATATGATATAATTATTATCTCCTTCAGATGGTGATGAAGTCACGGATGGTGAATCGTCAGATGAAGAACCTGATGAAGAGATTTGCAATAATGGTGATGACACAATGTTGTCTGAAGATAAGTTGCCTCCAATGGTCATGGAAGCACTAGTGTCTCTTGATATATTCACCAAAGTTTGGGCACGCACTGAACTACCACCTCAGAATGTAATGATGATATTGAAAGAATATGAAGGATCACAATTAGTTTACAACAAGTAAGATGAAATCTAATTTTACATAATTGATAATACTCTTGGTTTTATTTAAATTTATACTTGTATTGAATATTATAAATTCAGTAGCTGTAATGAACAGATGTAATTTAGTATCTTAATTTTGAAGAGCTTAATAGTGCAGTTGTTTATGTATTCAGTCTGCAATGCAAAAATTAAGCAACTTTTGCTAAGGTTTTGCATAGTTTGGGTAACAGAAAATGTATTATTTGTATTATGTAGTTTGTCAAGTCCCTTTAATTATTCAGAAAGCCTGTTAAGAGTTAGCAGCTTTATCTGCAGTTGTTGCCCTTTGGCTTGTTCTTTTTTTTTATTTCATCTTTAGGATAGGCCTGTGCTCCTCCAACAGTAGGAATATCAATAGGCTAATTATGATGAACAATCTTTATTATTTTTCAGACTTCACAGTGTTCAAACCAGAGCCCTGCTGTGCATAAACAACATGCTATCCACACTGCCTATTGATAGTTTAGGAGGAGTTAATGGTATATACAAAATTTGGCTAGACGCTGGGAAGTTAACATTCAAACAGAACACAGAAAATATTAACCTATTGGAGTCTGCAACTGCAGTGATGAGAGCTTCTCTTGACAAAATCAAACTCAAGGAAAATGGAAATATAAATGAATGTAATCTGTTCAATAACATGGCTCTATCAGATATAGAGGTAGGCAAATCTTAATTGATTAATTATTCTATATTACATAAGTATGTACTTAAGTTTTTTACGTTTCACAAGTCAAAATGTAGTTTGATCAAACTTATCAACGGATTGTTAACTTTGATACATTTGAGCATGGCTGACATGTTCCAATATACGTATGAAAATCAATACAAATATCTTGAGAACTAAATCAGCTAAATCTGCACAGTCGTGCTCTCGAGTTTTAGTAAAACAAACGAACTGCAATAATTTTTTATGTATAGATTTGGAGTATGTATTTAATAAAATACAAACAATTTTTTTGCGTCGGATAAGGACTGCACTTGACTGATCGATGTACTGATTTTTGAGGGACGTTTTGTCCCGCAGTGATTATATTCCATCTTAAATTATTTAATAAATTATGTGATAATAAAATAATAAGTAATTGTTTCACAGATGATGTTGACTGGTATCAAAGAATGCGAGACACCTGAAATAAGGTCAAATCTAATCAGAATGATTGGAATATTAGCATTACTCTTAGTAAATAACCTGAACGAAGTAACTTCAAATGTGATATGTACTATAACAGAGTTTATTATAGAGCAAGCTCATAAAGAAAATGATGTGTGGGTGTTAGCTGAAGCAATAGATACATTAGTTGATTTGTATTCTGAAGATGAAACAGATATGTTGGCAGCTAGAGTAAAACTAGTTGATAAATTATCTATACTGGCACCGATACTGAAGAACAAAGTGAGTATTGAAACCCTTTTACATTAAACAAAAAGTAGAGTTAATAAGAAAACGAGACGGAATAAATTTATCTGTGAATGAGGCAGATAGGCCTCAAGATTGTGTATTGCATGTCAAAAACTATTTTTAATTAATTACTCATAAACTGTTATTGTAAAACTGCTACATAAAGCTGCCAACTTCAACATGACTTGCATATTTATCAAATTTATTATAAAAGAGTACCATTACAAGAATAAATGCAAAAGAGGCGAAATTATGTATTATACTTTTTTTCTGAACATGAAAAATTTAATACATTTTTGTCATGATTGTGACAAATCCTTAGAAATTATCTTTAATTACAACCTATATAATAATAATAATAATAAGCCTTTTATTCTGAACTTCGAGTACACTGTCTTAAAATAAATTTAGCTACTTTAAAATTGACCCTACAAAATGTCTCGTAGTTCAGTATGCCTCTTAGTATAAGGCCACCTCCAATAGTTTCTACTGAATTCTCTCCTTGAATGTTATTTCTTTCTATAAAATCAATTTAAAATAGTTTATTTTTAATGTCCACACCCTCTTAAGTATTTTCTTAATCAAAGTCTAAGAAATATGTGATTTGTATTGGAATAAACAAAGTGCCTTCTAGATCATGAATCCCATAAACCGTAAATTATGGTTCCTTTTGGGTTTTCTTAAAGTTCTCTTAATTTTACTTTTTCAGGCAAGACAACAGAGAAGACTTCCCAAGGAATATAAGGTATTAGTTAGCACAGCCACATCAAATTTACCAAGATTCATAAAGTATAAAAAGACGCGGTTGAGTAATTTATAAGTGTAATCTATAATGTCTTTGTATTACTCCTTGTAATTTTTTTATACAGTTATGACGTATTATATCCGTTTGTTATATCAAAAATTGTTGTCAATTTAAAAATTTCAGAGTCAGAGCGGTAAAACACTTGGTAGTTATTGAGATTATTTGCGTACCTAATTGATTCAACTTATAGTATCTGTGGCTCTGACAGACTAACATCGGTTCAGCAGCACCACGGAGTCGTTTATCTATGAAGCTATGTAATATGGCTATTTGTTCATATTTTGTAATGAACTTATTAATAAAAGACGACACATAAATAATTCATTTCGAAATCGAAGAGGGTGGTGCTGTCACCCCTGTTTGTGTATGTCAACAAAAAAGCTAATGATGATGTTATTAATAATTATATGGATTTAAATGAAAGAACAACGCGACAATAGAATAATTTATATAATAATCTTGTAAGTAATAATTTATTATGACAATGAGTCAATTAATAGCATAAAATTATCCATTTTCACTAGGTAACACATAAATAATATAATTTATTAATATTTTGTACATTTTCATTCATTTAGCATGTTGTACGACTACAAAATCTGTAACTTTAATATAATTTGATGTAGTAATTATCATTATTGGATGTTCGTAGTAAATAACATATATAAAATCATATTGAAATAATAACAAAAAACTTGGGAAGAACTTGGGAACTTGGGAAGGGAACTTGGGAATTATATAACTAACTTTTTCCATTTGCAAACAAACACAAAAAATGCAAGAATGGTATATAGCCTATTTCTCTAGTGAATTGCACTCGGATAAGGACCTATTCTCGCAATATACAATACAATATTATACATCAACATCCAATATTTAAGAACAAACAACTCACGGAATACGGGTGTAGACAGTAAACGAAATTAATTCATTTTTTTTTGGTTGTGTTTAATATACATTTACCGATAATCACACTTTTATGCTTATTATATTTGTAAAATTAATTATAAAAAAACAAATAATTTAAGCTCGTCACGTGACCGTAAACAGCGCGTGACGTCACGACCCTCTTACTCATATCAGAACTTAGAAAATTTGAATTTTATGCATAATATAACGATACTAGTTTCAGAGGGCCGTGACGTCATAGCGACGCCATGGCAGAAGTTGACGTTTTCATGAGAAATTTTGACAATGAAATTTATTAATTATATTTTATCAATTTTACATTCACAATGCTATACTGAAAAATATTTTTAGATATTAATTTTATATATTTTTTTATTTATACTATATTTAAGATATTTTTCATGTACATAAAATAATAAGTTGTCTACACCCCTATTAGACATTAGTCAATCAGCCCAATATGAATAGATGAAATCTCTGAAAACCAAGACAGATATTCAAGCATCTTAAGAAGACAATTCACAATATGCGTATCAATTAATAGTTTTATATGGTTCCCAAAACATAGAATTGCATTACAATATTATCCCTATAAAAGCACATAATTAACAAACAACTATCACATTTAACGCTTAATCTAAACCGCGTTACATCTATGGCGGAAAGTCAGTTCTAAACTAACGCAGTTAAAAAATGGTGATAAAAGTATTTTTATACGTATTACACAAGTTGTTAGAGCCCTGTTTTCAAGGCACAATTTACCAAGTCTGAGATCCAATTTCATTTTAATAGACATTTATTTTTATTATATCTTTTTTGAAGGAACTTAAAATTAAATATTACCATTAACTGGTGAAATAGAATCCCCATAATGACTTCTTCTAGGTTTTGGTATCGGATTTGGTGATGAAGCGTCTTTGTTGTCAAATCTTCTTTTTATATCTGAAACCGACAATCTCGCGCCTGTCTGAGTTACATCTTCATCTTCATTTAGAGCGGAATTCAGTTTACTTATTTCCCTTTCTAGCTCTCGAGTAGCTCTATCAATTTCCATAAATTCCTTTTCAGTGCTCGACACTGTATCGACGCTTTGTCTTCGAGGTTCTTCGTAAAATTTGCATACAACTTTTTGTGGTTCTTCATTGCCGTTAGCATCTTTAGGTGTGTTATCTTCATTCAAATTTATGTCGTAACTAGCGTAACTGGAATCTAGAGCATTAGTTAAACTCTTACTCCGTTTGTTCGTCAGTGCATGATAGTCTTCTAAATTTCCACGTCGAAGCCTAATGTCGTCATCATTTACGCTAGAGTTTCTTCGATATTTCACTATGTCTATTTTTGGGAAGGAGGCTTTGGATAGAATGTCGTCTTCAGAATCAGAACCTTTCATTATGGTTTCCGCCTTCAATTCGGGATTTTCTTCTACCCGATGTACTATTTCATCGGTTTCGGCCTTTGGTGTTTCTTGAGTATGATCTGTTACAGACTCACTATCTTTGGTATCATCATTTGGACTGGCAATTATCACATCTGATTGCTTAATGTCTTCATCTTCAACAATTTTTAATTCGACATCGAGGTTGGTGTCTTCGGATTCTAATTCTACGTCTGGTTGAGACAATTTACTATCATCGGTTTCACTAATATGCAGCTCAGAATTTTCACTCGTTACCTGCAATTAAACATTCTTATTAAATTATATATTTATCTATTTACTTTGAGACACATTATATTTATTATTGGATTTTGACTACTGTAAGGCGATATTTCTTTTGTATAATCGGTCGTATCTCTCACAAACTAGTTCTGTCATAAATACATTTATATCGTAACAGTATTCACGAAAGATGATTTTATCTAAAACTTATATTTTTGGCGTTAAAATACTTCTTCTATCTTAGGTAAGCTCTTTAAGTAAAATTTGTCCGCTTAGTAAAAAAGGTGGAAAAAAAAATAATACATTAGATACACCGAGTCATAATGACCATTCCTGGACTGAAGCACACAGATTGTCTTTTCTACCGACAAATTTGGAGTTGAGACACTGAAACGATGTCTCGCTCTGTATAGATTTAAATAAATGAAATAAATTACCGATACATCTAAACCGGGCGGCGCATGTGGAGGCAGTGGTGCCCGTTTCTTCTTGCGGCGCGTTCGCACCGGCGGCACAGGTCCATCTTCATCGAACGGGTTAGTGCTGCCGACACTCAGTCGAGATCCTGTCACCTCGCTGCGGGCCATGCGGGGAGTGCCGCTGCAACGAGAAATAATCATCGTTCTTAATAGTTTGTGATGTGGACTTAAGCAACATTCGCATGGGCCCACCTTGGGGAGACTTGGGAACCGTCTATATTTTTTTTTTTTTTTAATTGCCCGTCCAACAATCCTGGCCGAGCCCTACACTTCACCCCACTTTGTAGCAGGCCTTTGTAATTACTATCTTCCCATTCATTCCAGTTCTATCATTTGTCCTGTACCGTCTATATATTAGGTTCTCCCAGGTAGGAGAATCTTGAGTACATATAAACAAAATTATATACTAGAGCCTGAAATGGCTTTGGAAATAAAGATTCTGAATTGTGTCATGTCATAATACTCGAATCTCACAAATGACTTATTTGGTATAACGTTACAAAGCTCTAAATACAAACTATGGTGACATCATCAACGCCCAGGCACTGTATACTTAATATAGTATGTACTAAACTGTCGTTTTGTGTGCTAAGAAAACAAATGGTTCGGTATGCGGCCTTATCTTTACCATATGAAGTTGATTCAGGGGATCGTTATCTCGGTATAAGAAGTTCTTCCTCGAACGTTACGCTTTAGAATCAACGAAATAATAACAATTTAAAGATCAGCATGCATTTTTGTAATCTATATGAATATAAATTAGAGATGCGCCGAAAAGTCGTTTGATATTCGGTATTCAGCATCTTTTTCACTGTTATTCAATTTGGTTATATTAAAAGTCAAAGAAATCCTATGATAGCATAAATATTTATTTTACAAACTAGGTATAATCAAAATTTAAAAATTCAAATCGACATATTCTCAGTGAAAAATGTTTAAAAACCCACTTTGTCCCTGTAAAAGGGGATTTTTATGCATTTTTCAATAATAAATATTTTCTAGTATTACATTTTGAATACAAAAGATTACAAAAGGTCGTGGGTTCGAGTCCCATCTCAGAGTACCTGGGGCATTAGTCCATAGTGTCTACAACCGAAGCTTGCAACGACGATTTCTACCCAAATATAAATACTATTGAAAATCCTATTTCTTAACTGCTGAAATATCAGTCCATAGAGCAAACTAACATTTTTAAAATAACGCGGAGTTGATTGACATGTACGCAATATGGAACATGGATGCAAACCTAAGGGAGTCGACTTCGTGTTGACTCGAGCTGCGCAGACGCTCCTGGAACCGTGAGCGCGGCAGCGGCGTCACTGAACCCCCGTACACGTACCGTTCCGGCGACGCAAGTGTGCTGCGGGTGCCCATTGTCGACGTGGATGAGTCTGGAAATGAGAAAGTTAGCTTTTAGGTTCAAAATTTGTTTGGTTTTGGTTATACAATACGTGTCGAAAAAAGTTATTACTAACGTTTCTTTGTTTTTAAATATATATTTTTAATGAACACGTGATTTTAGTTGATTTGAAAAATATATATAATTCTCATATTTTACTGTTAGCACACAACCACCTAGTCCAAGTGTTCTTTGCCACAAGTGTTGTCTGGAAGAGATTGTTATTAGTGATAAAACCAATTGCCCACCCTTTAGTTAAAAAATATGATGTTTACTTTTCTTATATGTGTGAGCAATAAAGAGTTATATCTATCTATCTATATGTGTAACTGTGAAACTTATGTTATCTAGCAATTTCCACACCCAGTCGGTATGTGCTGTGCTGCAAGACGTGCTGTGTCCATTAAATTGTTCATTAGTTTAAACCGAAATTACCCATTCAAATTTGATATTCATTAGAGCTTAAAGGCGTCATTAAACCTTAAATGGGCTCAACATGTTCAATCTACCTACTACGATGTTTTTTTTTGTTATATGTTATATAAATTATCCTAGTTCTATGGAATGGAACATCGATCAATACATCTTTGTCTGTCTCTCTATGTGTGTTGTGACATGTAGATTTCATACATACATAGTATCCTTTCTAATGAGCAAGACTACATCTACGAAGAATCTTAAAGCATATATCGAACATTAGATTGTGGGCGGCTGACAACCGACTGCGCATTACACGGTTCCACCCGACTAGCCCAACCATACCCTGAGGGATTAGGACCTCCTCCCTCACCGGGAGTGTCTGATTCGGTAAATACGCTGAGGTTCCTGAGTGCCCTGGGTTTTTAGTGGGTAGGACCCCGCCCCCAGCCTGAATGAGTCCCACACATCCCTTGCAGTCCCGTGAGGCGGCAGGGATAGTACGTAACACATTTTCCCTGGGTCAAAAAAAGGTTCGTATATCATAAAACATGCATAATAACCTTTCACGTTCGTTTTGAGTTCCTGGAGCCTGGAGATTTTGGAATCTAATGCCTTTTTCCAGGAAAGGTGACAACCCTAACTGCAGTGAGCGCTAGTACTAGGGTTAAGTGTTAGGTATTAGATAAAGGAAGTTTAATAAAATCTTACATTGTAATGCTCGTCGATACACTATAGGGCTGCCCTCATCTTTCCCGTTTGCAGTCTTGTCAGTCGTTTGTCCTTTTTTGCCTTTTTTCATAAACGAACGGAATGCCCTGCAACAAATTTATAATTACGATTAAACTCTATGGGTATCGCTAGGAAACCTTCCATGGAAGTGCGTCTTTACCTATCTCATAGGGTGGGTCATTCTTTACAAAAATTGATCATTCCGGACCAAAAAGAAATACTTTTTCTTCTATTTTTTTACTAAATATGAAGCACGAAAATGTAGTATGAGAATTTTTCTCAGTTTTAGTGCGTGTTATATTATACCAATTGATAAGAAGGTGCAGAGGTTTTACCTGGACACAAAGTTAATTTTATACGGATTGAAAATTAGAAAATGTAGATTTATAAGAAAAAAGTCATTGATCGATCAATGTTCAGTGTAAATTGATTGTTGAATAGAGACCAATGTGATAGCTTTTCGCAGCAACCGTGTAACAACGGTGGCCGATTCGCATTGTGTCGTCGCAAATTCAACTTTTTGCGTCGGTAACACAGGCGTTGGTACAGCAAGTACGATAATCGGTGGCGGAGCTCTCACGGCCCGGTTAACGGATGTCTGTAGGCGCAATACTGACAAAAGTAATGAAAGTTTAGTGCACTTGATTCCACTTGAGCGGTCACAATTGCGGCGTGACGGACGTGCGCATGAGTCTGTCTTCGCCCACGCCGCACACCGTCATAGCGATCCCTGATTTTGCACAGGTGAGGAAAATGAAGCAACAATTATTTAGTACTCTCAAATAATCACAAATCTATAGCGACGAAGCTGATATGAACAACTTGTAAACTACCTTTATAGTATCCAGCACTATTCTGTATTAGGTAATGCGTATTCTTAAAAGTACTAAAACCCACTGTTTTTTTAATGATTTCTTTAGTGTCGACTAGAGCATCGAGTTTGGCGTCAAAATATCCGCAGTAGATTCGGACCCTGAGTGAACAGATTACAAATTTTGCCTTAGTGTTTCTATTTTTTAATGTGTAGGTGACTAGTCCTTATTTTATACCTTGAATTGGCTTGAAGATATAGATAGATATTAAGTTTTAACCAAAAGAGCAAGTCTCTTAATCAACAATCTATTAGATCTTAACTCACTTGTTAATCTGTCTTTGTGTCAATCTGTCTTTATAGTTAAACCACATTTTGCAGTCGCATCAAACGTCATAGTAGGTCATAAAACTCATTTATTCTTGTTTTATGAATAAAAAGATACGTATTTATTTTCCTCTAAGGCTTACGTCATGTTTGGGTGACTTGCTGATACTGGGTATTTACACGCTAATTTCTCATAAATCACAATACTTAATTTTTTTTAAAATTGAATAGCACATTTTAAGATTATTGGTTGCAATAGTTTTTACTCATCCTGCCAAAACTACTGCATTCCATTCACTGGAAGTGATTCATGCATTTGGTTTACACGACACCGTTATTTGCGAATAAAATTCAGCTATAGTTTGAGGCTATGGCAAAAAGTAAGACGTTTCGCGTCAAAAAATCTAACAACCAGAGAATAAAAATAGAAAATTGTGAATAACTAAATATGTCTTCATAAAGCAATAAAACATAGGTTAGCTATCACACAAAAAATTCAAGTGACACAATTTTCCATATAGATAAAGAAACTTTGCGGAATACCTATCTTGTCTAAATCTCTTTCAAAACGAAAGACTTTGCATTAATCTTATAAAAATAACTTCACGATCATGACGGTCATTGTTTATCAATATTGGATGTTATACCTCGTGTGTACATAAGTTTTGAGACAAACTTTTTACTGAAAAAATAAAATAATATGTTACTGGCTGTTACTTTTTCTTTTTACCGATTTTGAATTTGCAATGTTAACTTTTAGTATATTTGTATCGCAAATTCATTTGTTTATATTTCATCGTTATGGAGGGAACGAAACAATTTCTTGCAACTGTCATTTCACTTTTTAAGGCGGGAAATAACCGATGCAGATTTTACGCGAGCTGAAAAGTTTTCCTGTTAGTCGTAACTTCATCTATTACACGATACAGCGGTACAAAGAGATAAGTTCTCTGCAAGATCGTCAAAGGAGTGGTCGGCCACGCTCTGTGAGTATGCCTTCGAACATCAAAATTATCCGAGAGCGATTTCGCCGAAATCCATGTCGCATTCAGAAGAAACTCTTTCTGCAGACTAATATTTCGCGTGTTTCAGTAAACAAAATACTGATATATGATCTTAGGTAAAGGCCTACAGCGGTAGAAAAGTTCACTTTTTAAACGATCGTCTTTGTAAGTTACGACGCGAACGTTGTCCATTGCTGCTGAGACATGTGCCAGGAATATACTTTTTTTTTTTTTTTTTTTTTTTTTTGACGCTGAGAAATGCATTACGCATACCCGCTTCACCCTGCGCGGGCTCCACGGGTGATGTGGGACTCCTCCTGTGGCCCCACCCCCGTAGGGGCTAGACAAGAAGCAGGAGTTTACCCACTAAAACTCAGCGATGTCCCTCTCATGGTAGGCGATGCGCGGGATCGGCCCGAGGGCCATACACCGCGCGGTTCGCCCCCATTTCGGCCCGCCCTGAAAAGGGCAGGTCCCAC